GTGCAGGACCCTCCCTGTGAGCTCTAGATTCCTGCACCAAATCCCACCTGCCTCTGAGACCAACACTTACAGTAGCCCCAGCCCCGAGCTCCAGAGACCACAGCGGCGAGCAGGATGCTGAAGAGCTGGAGACTCATCATGCGGAGCTGACCAACCCTGGGTGTCTGCCTTGTGCTCAGGCCCCCAGCTTTTCTCCTGGATTCGCGGCTGACCGATGCTTTTTCTTTCGTCCTTACCCACCCTTCCCTCTCTCCTACCCCAATCTCTCTCCTCTCTCTCTCTGTCCCTCTGTCTCCCTCTCTCCGCCCCCTTCCCCCAGCCTTTCTCCTGGCACGCAGGTTTTTCCCGGACCCCGCGCAAGCGCGTGCCTCAGCCCTATTACGAAAGGGCGGGGTAGACAACCTGCCTCTGGGAAATACCCCCAAGTAACCCAAGGCCGACAAGGACTGGGGCTACAGGGTGGCCAAAAAGAGAAGTCAGAGGAGGCGAGGTGGCATTTTCGAGGAAAAGGGAAAAGCTTTGAAGACGGACGCCTAAAGATGGAATGAAGAGCATTTTTTTTAAATGTTTTCTGAAGGTAAATAGTGCTCCTGGCTCAGTGCTGGACACCTTCGTAACTGTGAACTCGGCGTTGTCACCTTACTGTACTTTACACAGGGAAGGCTCAGAGGAAAACAAAGCGCACTTAAGACCATACAAGCATTCCTTTTCCTTTGACTAGATAGAAGTCGGGCAAGGTGGGATGGAAAAGTGTACCCACAGACCCTAATCTCCACCCTCCTTCTTGGCCCTTCTCCCCACCCCTTCCTTCCTGCCCCGCTAGTTATTTAACTTTAGCCCCTGTGGCTGTACCTCAGAAACCCTTGTAGCCAGAGATGTGGACCAAGCCCACAGAGCAGGTGGGAGTCGGGGCAGGGAGGGGGAGAAGGGTTGCCGAGAGGGTGGGGAAGGGGAAAGGAGTGGGGTTTCTTGCCTGACAGCCGGCCTCTGTCATCTAGCACCTGTGCAGGAGCCTATAAATCTTACCTAAGACCCCTTTGGTGTGAGTGTTTTCAATACATCTGTGCTCTAACGGTAGGGCGGAGGAGAGAAAGGGAAGGAGACAGAGCTCCTCTAGCCTACGCTTGAAGCCTAGGACCCAGGGCTGAAGCAAAGCCCTGCATCCGTCCTGCCTTCCAGGAGAGGGCACTGCAGAAGTGAACAGAAGAGCCGAGATTTATTAATAATACAAATGTTTGGTCTAGGGCGACCTAGATGTTTCTGTTTTCTATTATCTTGCATGGTTTCAACAGTGCTCACTGCTAACCTGCAAAGGTGGGCTGAACAGGACTTATACTCTGGGTAGAAAACACTTAGTAAGTGGCATCCAGAAAGAGCTGGTGGCTGCTCAAGGTCACCCAGGAAGCTGGAAGCAGAGCTACGGAGACAGCAAGGGAAGCTTAACTGTCTGTTCGAGGCACACTCGCAAGAATCTGGAGAGAGAGAGACAGAGAGAGAGAGAGACAGAGAGAGAGAGAGAGAGAGAGAGAGAGAGAGAGAGAGAGAGAGAGAGAGAGAGAGAGAGAGAGAGTGAGTGTGTTCGTGTTTTCTCCTGGTGTTGAGGCTTCAAGTGAGGAACTCCTGTGTGAGAGGAGGGAGGGGTGTAGGAATGTGTCTTACATGGTCCCTCTTCTCATTTTGATGCCACCAGGTCTCCTGGGGACCTTACTCCGGGTACGATGAGGCTTATTCGGCTGGGCCGCTGCCAGAGCTCTGTTACAAGGCTGATGTCCAGGCTTTCAGTCGGGCCTTCCAACCCAGTGTCTCCCTGATGGTGGCTGTGCTGGGTCTGGCGGGCAATGGCCTAGTCTTGGCCACACATCTGGCAGCCCGACGAACTACCCGATCTCCCACCTCCGTTCACCTGCTCCAGTTGGCCCTGGCTGACCTCTTATTGGCCCTGACCTTGCCTTTTGCTGCAGCAGGGGTTCTTCAGGGCTGGAATCTAGGAAGTACCACCTGCCGTGCCATCTCAGGCCTCTACTCGGCCTCCTTCCATGCCGGCTTCCTCTTCCTAGCCTGTATCAGCGCCGACCGCTATGTGGCCATCGCACGAGCTCTCCCAGCCGGGCAGCGGCCCTCCACGCCTAGCCGTGCGCACTTGGTCTCAGTCTTCGTGTGGCTGTTGTCGCTGTTTCTGGCTCTACCTGCACTCCTTTTCAGCCGGGACGGGCCACGGGAAGGCCAACGACACTGTCGGCTCATCTTTCCCGAAAGCCTCACGCAGACTGTGAAAGGGGCAAGTGCGGTGGCGCAGGTGGTCCTTGGCTTTGCACTGCCTCTGGGAGTCATGGCAGCCTGTTATGCGCTCCTGGGCCGCACGCTTCTGGCCGCCAGGGGGCCAGAGCGGCGGCGTGCACTGCGTGTCGTGGTGGCCTTGGTGGTGGCCTTCGTGGTGCTGCAGTTGCCCTACAGCCTCGCCCTGCTACTGGATACAGCCGATCTACTGGCAGCCCGCGAGCGGAGCTGCTCCTCCAGCAAGCGCAAGGATCTAGCTCTGCTGGTCACTGGCGGCTTGACGCTGGTCCGCTGCAGCCTCAATCCGGTGCTTTATGCCTTTTTGGGCCTGCGTTTCCGCCGGGACCTGCGGAGGCTGCTACAGGGCGGAGGATGCAGCCCGAAGCCCAACCCTCGTGGCCGCTGCCCTCGCAGACTCCGCCTTTCTTCCTGCTCCGCTCCTACTGAGACCCACAGTCTCTCTTGGGACAACTAGGGCTACAATTCCAGAGAAGGGGGAGGGCTAAAGAAATGATCCCAGGGAGGGTAATAGAAAGGGGAGTAAGTAGGGGGACGTTGAGAAAGACTTCAGAATCTGAAGGGATTGCCTCTGAGCTTAATTAAATTGATCTAATGTAAATGAGATGCAACCCAACTACTGTTACTATTTTTGAATTACCAGCTTTGGAAAGGAGTTGCAGCAGGGCCAAGACAGTGGGTTACACCCCCACACCCCTGCTTGAGTCTGAGTGGGAGGCGTGAGGGGACAGGGGTTGCTGAGTCTGCTAAAGCTTTGAGTGATGACACGCCCTCTGCTTCACTCAGTCTCTGCCAACCGAGGTGAGGTGGGAAGGCTGCCAGGTGAGGAGGGGCGGGGTTTCTCCTCGGGAGTCGTAAGAAAGGGCTTTCTAACAACCCTAGTGTTATCCAGCAATGGCTGCTTTAGCAAGTACCTAGCTCCCAGCGTGTGAAATGTACGGGGTGATGCTGTCCCAAGCTGTATGTGCGTGCGTCTGGTAGGGGTAGGAGGCAAGAGATTCTAGTTTGGGATGGTTTTTTGGATCCCTTCTAAAGTTCTGCTATGGAAAGAAAAACGCTAATTAAAAAGTTGAGTCTGACTGTGTGTGGACCAGATACCTGTAGCCCCAGCCACTCCAGAGGTTGAGACAGGAGGATCAAGAGTAATATCCTACCTGAGAAGAAAAGAGAAAAATGTTGAGATGGAGTTTTCCACCTAGGATTTAAAAAAAAAAATAAGAGGGGGATTGCAATTGGCAAATATCCCAAGAGGTGTTACCGGCCCTGAGCTCAGAGTGCGGGGCGCTTGCGCCGATTATTTCCCCTGGGAATCAAGTTAAAGGAAATGCGCTGAGCTTGCCAGGAAATAGGAGGTTAGATATCAGACAGAACTCTCCAGCCGGCAAGTGTCTAGGATCTTGAAGAGGAAGAGAGGTCATGGTTGTGGAATCTCTGGCCCTTGGAAATCTCAGCATGCACCACTTCAATATGAAAGTACCATCAGGATGGCTTCTAGAGATGGTGCATTGATTTCTGGTCTTTGCTTTGCACAATCACAATTGCCAGGATTGTGCTCAAATGAGACAATACTCCCAGTTTAGTATCCGGTCAGTAAAGTCAGACCACCGCTCCAGCCTGGAGTCTAGGGGCAAAAAGGGCGTGGTGTACAGGTCCCTAGGGAGGCGTTGGCCTGAAGTCTGCACTTCGTCCAGCCTAGCCTAGCCCAGCCTGGCTAGTCATGTGTCCTAGAGCCTCTGGCGGTAGAGACTTATAACTTTGGCTTCTTGGAGCCAGAAACGAGGAAAGGCTCGAAAACTGCGCAGATCCCCCAAGAGGCGCACACTACCCACCGGAGCAAACCTGGAATCCTCCTCCAGTGACCAGGGGAATCGCTGCTGAGTCAGCAGCGCCCGAGCGCGCGCCCGCTGCCTAGGCTGTAGCGCGGACCCCGCCCTGGACTCTTAGCGCCCTAGTTAACCCCTTCTTGTTCAGAAATGCAGCAGAGTCCCCCTGAGAGGTTTCTGATCTATTGATTTCCCTAGAGCACAGAATCCCCGAGCATGCCAAGCCACTCTCCCCACTCCAGTTCAATGCCCTGTAAATTCGCTTTTATTTCAGATCTTTGTCTGAGGCTTCCAGGAGTTCCTTTCTCAGCTTTTTCATCTCAAAAGTGGGGGTGGCTAAGATCTAAATCTGGACCCTTTTAACTCCAAGGATGGAAAGCTACCTCTGCAGCTAACTCTGACACGCAGGTGTGGGATGCCTTGAAGATGTTAAGGCTCTTTACTTTTGCAGGGATTCCAAGGTGTGACAGCTAATCACAGGCCAGTAGCCCAGCTTCATGCTCTTCCTTCTCCAGACATTCGAAAAGGGTTTTTAATTTGCTGCTTGGTGAGCCAAGAGTTAAAACAAGAGCGCGAAGGCGGTCCTACGTGACGCCACAGACACCCCGCATCCGACCTCAGAAGCTGGGGCGTGTCTAACATCGTACCGCCCATTCCCTCCCCGTCACCCCCCCGCCCCTCCCCACTGTCACTCAGCCAGAGACACATGATGCAACCCGCAGCGGTTTTAAGCTTGGGATTGGTCGCACTGGCCGGCGCCAGGAACAGTGATTGGGTAGAGGAGGCTGTGACGCAATGTAGACTCTACCCTGTAAAGAAGGGAGGAGAGAAAGAACAGGGAAGGCGGAGGGAAGGAGGGGGGCTAAAGAGGGAGGCGGGGTCTGGGAACTCTGCCCGCGCCCCCAACGCGCCAGTCCCGGGGCTGCAGGGAGCGCAGCGCGCGCCGCCCGGGCCCCGGCCACCGGACGCCCTACCGGACACCACCCTCCTTGGAGCTTGGACAACCGCCCGCCACGATCGCTGCACCAGGCACTGCTCCTACAGGGCTGGACACTACAACGAACACTACTTTCCAGCTCCGGACATTGCTCCCTGCTCCCTTCCCCCGGCCCTGGACGCTATCTCCCCCCTCCTCTGCCCGGGCCCAGACATCGAGCCCCCAGCGGGCTCTGGTGATAGTCCTCTTGCACCTCAGCGCTGGACACTGCCTCCTTCCGGCCCCCTTCTTTCCTCTCGTCGCACCTCATCTCTATCCAGTTCGGGTCAGAGCACCTCCAGTTTCTCAGATTCCCTGCTGCTCGGGCAACGCTGCCCGTGCCCCCATTCCCAGGCTGCTCGCCCGGATGCCTCTCCCCGGGGGATTGTGGTGGCTTCTCTGCTGCCGTCGAGGCTTCACTCTTCTGCACCGGGACTACGGGGACGGCGAGCTTAGCGGGGACGGGGACGAAGACGAGGACGACGAGACCTTTGAGCTAAGGACCCCGAGTCCAGCGGGCGGCGGGAGGGTAAGTCTAGAGGGATTTAGAACCGTGTTCAATCTTTCTCACTACGACCGGCCGTCACGCCTGAGCCTGCTCCATACTCGGGCCAAACGCGGTCCTCTTGGCCAACTAGAAATGTGGGGGAGATTCTTGTCTGAAGGCCAGAGCCCAGGGAGCTCCAGGGGCAAGTAGCACTCGGGATGTGCCTGTGGGCCTCGCGCCGCACACAAGGCGCTGTCCACCTGCTGGGGGCCCTGAGGCAGAGGAGGCGTCACGCGTGGCCCGACCTGGCCCTGCCTCTCCCTTCCCTGCCGGGCCCGCGTCCCATCCCGTCTCCTTCCGCCTCCGCCAGAGCCAAGGAATGTGGCGAGGCCGGCTGGGCGGCTGGAACGCCTGGGTTCACTCTGCTCTCAGTTCATGAGCACTGGGGCCAGATGCGGGAGCTCCCACCGCGGGATCCTGGGCGAGGGAAAAAAGACATCCTAGAATTGGGGTCTGCGTCAGGGACCCCACAAAGAAAAAACTCGGGACGATGCCCCTTTGAGGACTTCTCTTTATCCTGCCACTTAAAACAGAACTCTCTGCCTTTTCTGGTGAGGTGCCTGGGAAACCAGAGGGAATGGGTGAGGGTGACTTGGTTGCTGATTTTTTTTTTTTTTTAAATCAAATCTCCCCTGGGAGAGAGACACTCAGGCACAATTGGTGTGTAAGACCTCCATCCTTCGAGAAACCCTCTCTCACGCCCTTACCCACCAGAGGCAACCAGGCTTCTGTGTGCTGTGGCCTGGGTCCAGCTCCTATTCCCCCCCTTCACCCCACTCAGGGGTCCCCAGAAAGCCCGGTGGCTCCATTTCTGGGTGGGGCGGGCTGCACCGCAGCCAGTGAAGGCGCCAGCACCTGGCGAGGCAGAGGGCGGATAAATATAGAGAGGAGGAGGAGGGAAGCGGGGACTGCGATTAGGGGAGTTGGGGGGGGGGGATCAGTACCTGCCCTCTGGTGAAGTGGTGGATAGCCCCCGCAAGGAACCTCCAGAAAAGAAACAGGTAGGCTCCCAGGGAAAGAGTGGAACCTGGGAGTTCCCAAGTTTCCAGCATGGACAGGATCTCTGTCAAATAGGCCATGGCTTCTCTCTTGCCCCACCTCCACCCCCTCCTAGGAGCTTAGGGACAGGTGTCCCTGGTTCTCCTCCCCCAACCCTCCTCCTGGCTTTAGCAGTCTGGGTGCAATGAGACCATGGCACACAGTTCCTGTCTAGCTAGCTTGGCTCTGGGTTGATTTTTGACCAACATCAGACCCCAGGTTACAGCTGAAGTTCCTAAGCAGGGGTTTGTGTATGAGAAGGGCAAATTTCTAAATAACCCTTGGCCTGAAGAGTATGCGCTTAGCAGCTTCTTGGCCCCCTGAGCCCTAGCAAGGGAGTAGTGTGTCACTCTCTTCAGAGTTGTCTGCAAAGTAACACACAAAGCCCTTGGAGAGCATCTTCTGTAAAAGGGTTCCTCTTCCCTTCAGTCAGTCCTGTTAACCACCCTTGCCCAGTCTTGGTCCTGTACTTTCCCTGGGAGCCTATCTTCTTCTTCCCTGGAGGTTCTGAGCAAAGCAAGGAGGGTGAAGGAAAAATTAAAGAGGCTTCCACGGGTAGAAGGGACTTCATCATGTCTCCAGTTTGGAAAGATGGAGAAACTAAGCCCCAGAGATGGGAGGGGACTTTCAAAAGGTATGGCAGTTGCTTAGTGGTCCAGCCTCTATCAGCGGAACCCAGGTCTCCTGACTCCCAGCCCTGTGTTTCTCTGCCGACCCCCACACCCCCATGGTTGCATTTTCAAAAGGCAATGGATATAAGTCTACAGCTCTTGGGCATTTTCTAGTGGTCCACAGAGACTTGTATGTAGAAGGGACAATGCCAGAGTGGCCCTGGCTCTTCCTGCTCGATCACGGTTGGACTTCAGACACTCTTTCCTCAATCTAACGAGTGATGTCCTGGGCTCATATGAAACCATCAGTGCTAGGGGTCAAGGCCTCTGAATGTATTCTTGCTTATCTCCCTAGGGTTCGCTGGACGTTACACTGACTCAGCCAACAAGGAATGGGCCGATCTCAGACAGGTGAGCTTCTACTTGAGTGTCTTAGTTCAGATACCGCAGCTAGTTCTCAGGACCCCCCTTCCTTGCCATCTTCCCTCCCCAAGTTGTGCAACAAGGGAGAGGCCTTGTGCCGCCGGACGCTGTGGTTTGGCTGGGGTCCCAGGGGGGCGGTCCAGCCAGGGGCGCGGGGAGGAAGGGGGGTCCTAGTTATTTCTGGTGCAAGGTCAGAACGGCCCCGCAGTTCCCACAGCCTGGAGGATGGGTGCTCAGCTTGGGAGCATGTACCCCTTCTAGTCTGGGGAACCCCTAATAAGGAGGCAGAGTGGAGGCCCTTCAGCCTCGCCCAACTTTTCATCTCTGGTCCAGACTGCAGAGCTGGGAAGAGACCTGGAGCCTCATCCCAGACAAGGAACTTCCGGAGGACGACCCTGACGTCATTGTGAAAGGTGGGAACACCTGGGCCCAATTTTGGAGGGCCCCAAACACTGTCCTCCTAGGAATAATGTCTTCTCTTGTTAATCTCTTCCTATCTACCCTCCACCCCCCCCCCCCCAGGTTGGCTGTACCGGGAACCCCGTGGAGGAGGGGCACGGCCATGGTTGCTCCCACGCAGAGCCTGGTTTGTGCTCACCAAAGATTCCCTGGACCAGTTCAGCAGCAGCGGGAAGGGGGCAAAGCGCCTCGGAAGCCTGGTCCTCACAAGCTTGTGTTCAGTAATTGGGCCGGAGCGAAGGCCCAAAGAGACCGGTGAGACATCTTGAGAATCTCCCAACCTTCCTGGTTGGGGTCCCAACAATCCCTGATTGCCCTCTGTGGCCTCTCTTTCCACCAGGTCTGTGGTCAGTCACTGTGTCTGGCCGAAAACATAGCATCCGCCTCTGCTCCCCGCGCCAGGCAGAGGCAGAGCGCTGGGGGGTAGCACTGCGTGAGGTGATTGCCTCCAAGGCCCCGCTGGAGACCCCTACCCAACTTCTGCTCAGGGACATACAGGTAAGAGAGTTCTCCAATAAGAGCCAGCAGGGTTGTGGTTCTAGAAACTTTCTGGGCTCATAGAGAGCTCCCTTCTCTATCAAGTGACCGTCTTCTTGACGTCTAGGAGAGCTGTGGGGATCCAGAAGCAGTGGCCCTCATCTACCGGCGGAACCCTATTCTGAGGCACACCAGTAGTGCCTTGTATGCGCCGCTCTTGCCCCTGCCCTATGAAGTCAGCGCTCCAGGTGAGTGAGTGATGGGAGTGTCCTTGATGGGATGGGGGAAGACCTGGGGATAAGAACTGGAGGGGGGGGGAGGGGTAGAGGGGTAGGAGGTGGCTGGGGGGGAGCTTTATAGGCTTCCAGGTTCTAGCCATCTCCTAACTTCTCCAAGTGTACATGGGTGAACCTGGAAGCAGTCTAGACTGGAGGACAGCCAAACCAGAACAGGGTAAAAACTCTGCCTCCCTCTGGCCATCTATCACTAAGGATCTCGTTCTGATTACTTCCTTCAGAAGCATTTACAGTTTCCTATCTTTTGCATTATGCTCTTAAGACTCGGACATATCACCTTTACAAGCAGTGGGAAAACCATCATTTGGGGGAATGGTGCTGGCTTCATCTAGGGACACTTCTCTCTGTAAAGGGAGTACTGACTAGCCCAAGTCATAAAGCTTACAGAATACCAGGAAGTCTGATTTTTGGTTTCCAGAGCAGCGTTTTTCTCTTTTTCTGGCTCACAATGATGGCTCTGGGCACCTAGTTAAAGAATGTGGGGAGGGGTTGAATATATGGCTCCTAGTCTTTCTCTATTCCTTACTAGAAAAGGGCTAAGCAGGCTAGAGAGAGGGGCTCATGGGAGGCAAAGGTTGAGAGTTTGGGTCTGTGGACCATTGCTTTTCCTTTCACTCGTACCCTCCTTTCCATGCCATCCCCTGTGCCCTCAAACTCCCTCTGATCTTCCTCTGGATCATGCCTTCCTCCCAGGGCGCTGCTCTGTGTCCCCTCTCCAAACCATCCCTCCACCCCCACCCTCCCGCAGGTCCAGGCTATGCACCCTTACGAGAGGAGGCTGTGAGGCTGTTCTTGGCACTGCAGGCGCTGGAGGGGGCACGGCGCCCCGGGCCCCTGATGCAGGGTGTGCTCCAGACCTGCCGGGACCTGCCTGCACTCCAGGACGAACTTTTCCTGCAGCTGGCTAAGCAGACTTCAGGTCCTGCCGGTCCCCCTGGGCTCCCTGCTACTCAAGATCCTGCAACCCTGCGATACTGGCAGCTTCTCACTTGCATGAGCTGTACCTTTCGGCCAGGGGGAGCTGTCCGAGGGCACCTCCTAGGGCATTTGGAGAGGTAAGAGCGGAGATATCAGCCAAAAAGCTACAGGCCTGGGAGAGAATACGCAGACTGGTGTAACAGTTTGAGAAACGGAGAATCTAGATCCAAAGAAGAGACGAGACATGCCCAAGAGCTGGTCTGGTACTAATAATATATTCAGTACCTTCATGGGAATTACAAGATCATATCCCACGTGTGACCAGGTGAATCACAACAGGCACTCCCTTTGGAAAAAAAAAATATAAAAAGGCAGGATTTAAGGAAGCATAGCAACGTGGTTGGATTTCAGATTTTAATCACCCCTAAGATCAAGCTGGAGGAAGTAGGCGGGCCAATTGTAGGAGAGCAGGTAGGAGACTGCGAAAATAATTCAGTTCCCTCTAAAACACCCGGACACATTAAGGTTGTAGTCAAGAAACATAAGTTAGGAGGAGGGAACTGACCAGATGTAATGAAATTTTTTTTTCATGCTGGGCAGTCGTACTTAGAACCTCAAGCATGCTAAGCAGCTACTAAGTTAATGTATTTCCACCCTTGGTCATGTAAAATGAATTACAATAAAAGAAAGAAGCCCTTGGAACACTGGTCCTTGGATTTCTTCTACTTCAGGACGGAGCAGGCACTTCCGGACTCAGAACTGGCAGAATATGCACGTTTCATCCGGAAAGCTCTGGGCCGTACCCGGGGCCGAGAGCTGGTGCCTTCACTAGCGGAGATTTCTGCACTGAGCAGACGGCAAGAGCTATTGTGTACCGTGCACTGTCCCGGAGCTGGAGCCTGTCCTGTGTCCATCGACTCCCATACTACAGCAGGAGAGGTGAGGCCAAAGAAAGCCCCCCTCCCTTCCACTCCTGAAGCTTGCCTTCCAGCTTTGTTTACCCACGGTACTGCTGGTTGAATTCAAGGTGTCCAGTACCGTAGACACCCTTTCTAGCTTCTCATGCCTGAATCTGCCATTGTTTGCCCCTAGCCTCAGATTTGTTTCATTGGAAAGCCAGCAAATGGTGGTGAAAAAAACTAAGGGACCCTCTCCAAGTAGGATCAGCGCTTTCCAGAATTCTGAGAAAGACTCCTAAGGGATCTGACTTTCATCTTCTTCTCTTCTTTCTAGGTGGCTCGAGAGTTGGTGGGTAGGCTAGGTTTGGCCCGGAGCCGGAACGCATTCGCTTTGTATGAGCAGCGAGGGGCCCAGGAGCGAGCCCTGGCTGGGGGGACCCTCGTGGCCGACGTGCTCACCAGGTTTGAGAAGTAAATGTCCAGCCCCAGCCCTGTGCTTTATTAGCCAATCCACTTAGCTTTTGTCTATCACTGAGCACGTTTATCCAGGCGTGCCAGGAGCTCGCTGATCCGCAGACAAGTCCTTACCCGCCGGTGGTGTGTAGTCTGATTTAAAAAGCTCGCCAGGGCCCCGCCCCCAAATGTGTCTTGGTCCCGCCCCTACCCCCACTAGCCTGCGCCCAAAGGGCTCTGCTTCCCGGTCTCGATGCATCTTTTTTTCCCTTCCGCAGTTTGACCTCAGAGGAAGCCGGACTGGAGGACTCGCCCGACTCCGGGTGGAGACTGTGCCTTCGTCTTCACGGGCCTTTGCACCCAGAAGGGCTATCTCCAGAGGGTCATGAATTGCCTTTCCTCTTTGAGCAGGTGGGATCTCTGGTTTTCACGCCTCCAGACCGACCAAAGCTTGAACATCTCTTATTCCCAACCATCTTCATTTAATTATTGAGGCAACGTCCCCCTCCTAGAGATGTCCCCCAAACGTCCCCCTCCTAGAGACGTCCCCCAAACCCAGACCTCCCCAGATTCTATACTCGGAGGTGTCTTTACAGCTTCTCCACTGACGCCGTGTGCCTCCCTTGCAGGCTCACGCTCTGCTGCTGCGCGGCCGGCCGCCCCCACCCGACGACACACTGCGCGCCCTGGCGGCGCTGCGCCTGCAGAGTTTGCACCGGGACTTTTCCCCACGGGGACCTCTGCCGCTCCTGGACCGTCTGCTGCCGCCCCCCACCCCGCCCCGCGAACAACCGCTGCGCCATACCCGGAGGCCACCGCCGTCCGCCGCCCTGCTGGCCGGGGCGCTCTGGAGCCCCGGCCTGGCCAAGAGGCGGGCGGAGCGTTCCCGGCGTGGCGGGACCAGCCGCTCGACGGGAAGCACGGCCCAGGTGGGAGGAGGCGGCGCCAGCACGACGGCCGCGGTGCTGGGCGGCTGGAAGCGGCTGCGGGGCATGGGCCAAGCTGAGGCCATGGCTGCCTACCTGGCTCTGGCGGCGCAGTGTCCGGGGTTCGGCGCTGCTCGGTATGACGTTCTGGAGCTGAGCACGGTGAGGGGGAGAAGGGAGAAGGGGACTCTGGTGGTCCAAGACCCGACCTTTATCCCAGAGCCACAAGCTTCCCTCTATATCCCCAGTGATGGTCATTTCATTCGCCACATCTAGAACAGCTAGCTGCCCATCTCAAACCCCTGGTCTGTCAGGCTTTTGGGCTCGCACCTCCAGGTGCTTTTGACCACTCCACACCTGTGCTGTCAATCAAGGGTCAAGGAAGCTTCCGGGTCACAGCCATCTCACCAGAAATAAAGATGCAGCGGCCCTGCCTTTAACCCTGACCCCGCCCATCTCTCGGCAGGAGCCTGGTGGAGGTGCTCCACAGAAGCTCTGCCTGGGTCTGGGAGCAAAGGCCATGTCGCTCTCCAGGCCTGGTGAGACAGAACCCATCCACAGTGTCAGCTATGGTCATGTGGCCTCCTGCCAGCTAATAGGCCCTCACACCTTAGCACTGAGGGTGGGCGACAGTCAGCTCCTCCTGCAGAGTCCTCAGGTGAGAACAGGGGGTGTCTGTAGATACTAGGGTTCCAGCTGTGGTCAGAAGCAAGCTTAAGGAGCTTCCAAGGGATTTGGGGGGGAGTCAAATGATAGACTAAGATAGTCGAAAGAGTAACTGGACAGGAAGCCACTGGGCAGTCCTGAAGCACTGGGTGAGTGGGGAGGGATTCTTACAAAATAGCCTTAAGATGTAGGGAAAGAGATGTGTGTGGGGTGGACCACAAGGGCAAGGGCCTAGGGAAGGGTGAGGCTAGCACTTGGGGGTGGGGGTAGGGGGATGAGTGTGAAGGCAGAGAGGTGAAAGGGAAGAGAAGGTTGCCAGGCCTGGAGCATGTGGGAACCTATCTAGCGGAAGCTTGAGCCCTGGAGCTAGGAAGAAGACGGAAAAAGGGAGCCCAGTGGGCCCCGTCCCACACTGCCCTCTGACCTCTGCCCTCTGCCAGGTGGAAGAGATCATGGAGCTGGTGAATGCCTACTTGGCCAATCCCTCCCCTGAGAGGCCCTGCAGCAGCTCTGGTCCTCCAAGCCAAGACCTGCCGGACAGCTCCCCTCCCAGCCAGCACCAAGTTCTGGAAGAGCCCCAGGGACAGTCTGGCTGCTAGAGGCAGCTGCAGGACTAAGCCTGCCAAGAGGTCAGGACTTTTCTTTTTGCCTCCAGCCTGAGACGGAATGCTCCGAGATTTGAGGCAACCATGGACCCTTTTTGGCCCTGCAGGGACAGGGTACACCCATACCCGAAGGCAGCAATGGGTGTGGACAGTTTTCTAGTTTGTTTCTTAATTTATTTGTAGAAGAAAAAAAATCGTTATTTACACAAAGCCTTCCTGTGGGAGTGTCGTCGGTGGGAAAAGTTGGAGTTCCCTGCTCAGAACCCCCCCCTCCAGGACACCCACACACTGGGCTTTTACCAGGCACTGAGGGGAGTCTGGATACCACAGAGCTCCACCCTCCCTGACCTTCTGGATTTAACCTCCTCCTGGCCACTATGCCATCATGGGATGTTGGGTGGGGCGGGCAAGAAGGCAATACTGGAAGCTGACAATTACTCATTCTCTGTTCGCCATTGAGTGGTATGAGGGTGGCCTCCTGTCACCCCTGGCCTTCAAGGGCAGTGAGTCATCAAGACAGGCATTATCCAGGTCCTCCCTTGGTGTTCATTCAGCTCCTGCACCCTATCTGGGTCCATGTTTGGTTGCCCCATGCTTTCTCAGAATGAAATGGAGATGGCCAGGGCCGAATGCAGAGGTAGAAACATCTCTGGTATGGTAGGTGCAGGCCTACTCTTGAATTCTTGTCCTGTCAGGTCGGTTAAGTACTGTTAAATTCCTGGAGATACTGGTGATCCTACCCAAAGGGACTCCTACGTCCTAGCTATTCTGACTTGCTCAGAACATCATGGCTCCTTTGCCTCTAGACCCTGTATCTCTTCATTGAGTATAAGAGGTTAAGGCAACATCGTCCAACTGGGAACAGGGCCATAGGCACTGAGGTTATAGTAGGTCAGGAACTTTCAGTAATCCCAAGAGACGAACTGACCCCTAGGAAAGCAGACTGGTTCAAGGTGAGGTGGGCAACTGTGAAAACACACTAAGACCCGTGCTAAGGAATAAGTTGGAGCAGGTGAAGGCCAGCCTACTGTCACGTGCCTGGATATGGAAGGTGTGCTCCCCCAGCTCCCCCATCCCATAATCACAGACAAAGCTCTGCTGGCTTCATCATCAAGCTATTACTTTATTAGAACTAAACAAGCCAGTCAAGAGCCAGGAATGAGAAGGAAGAGATAGGAACAGCTTCTAGATTGGACATGAACCCAGAAATGTGATGTGAAGTTGTGTCAGAGGGTCCAGGCATGGTGGGGGCTGTGCTTCTTGTCCAGGGGACAGCAGAGAATAGAATCACTGCTCCTGGGTGCCCCAGGAGATATAATCCGGCCGGGTAGCAGCGTGGTACTCATCAATGAGTTCCTGCACCACCTCCCTCGACCTGTCCATCTCCTCAAAGTTGTCCTTGAAGATGTCCTCTTTGCGGAACTGCTCCAGGAAGGCCCCCCTCTTCCATAGTTTGTCATATTGCTGGCAGGAACTTTCAAAAAGCTAGAGGGAAAGAGTGCCTCAGAACGGCATCCAATGCAGGACACAGAACTAGGGACAGACAGGGCGGGGGGGACAGACAGGGTGGGGGGTGCTAATAACACTAGGGAGTGGAGCAGAGTGGCCAAAGACCAGAAGCTAGGGGTGTGGCTCAGAGCAAGGAGAGCTACCTACCATTCCTGAAGCCCTGGGTTTGATTCCTGGTAACACAAAGACAACAGGAGACTACACTTACTGAAGAGATACTGGTGTGGTTGGCCATCATGAGCCCGCTGACCCGGTGGGCTGAGGGCAGGTAGGGAGACTTCCTTGACAGGGCCACCTGGATGCTGGCTGGGCCCCAGGGGATGAAGTTGGCCAATTTCCTTTCCCGGATCCTCTGCAGGCTCTTGTGGACCTGGGGTGGGCAGAGAGGTGGTGGCTGCTTCTTCTCCATCCCATGGGTCCGAGGCTAGGGGAGTCCGAGGCTAGGGTGAAAGGGCCTCCCTCACCTGGGTGGGGTCCACCTCTCCCTGGATGATGTTGAGGATGGCGATGTAGCAGTGGTTGGTCTGACGATCCCGGCCTGTGGACACCATCACATTCTTGGGCTGTAGCAGGCGCCTCATGACATCCAGGACCGTGGTCTTCCTCACGCTGGCCACCTGAGGGAATGGGAGTTCACAGGTCAGCAGTCAGGGAGCAACCCAGAGATACATGGACAGAGGAGAAGAGTCAACTCTGTCCCCATCGGCTTGCAGGTGGCATGGTCTCAGGGGACTGTCTTTAGACCAGGTAGGTCTGTGCTGAGTCTCTGACATGGCATTAGCATCATGGCTCTCAGCTCACCAATCCCATGCCCTTGAGCAATGAGCAGAAGCAGATCCCAGTGTGCTCTGCTCCTGCAGGAGCCAAAGGGAGGAGAAAGCAGAGACAGGGCTGCAAGCTGGTGGCAGTGTCAGTGCCTGAGGCCAGAACCCGGGGAGGTGGGTGGAGAAGAGCTGCAAAGAGCGGCCCCTGGAAGAGTATGGAAAAGGGAAAGGCCACAGTTCGGGGACACCGTGGGAGCTCTTACTGACTGGTCCGTGGTGAGGGGGGGTATAGCCAGTCATGAGGAAGTGCAGCCGAGGGGTGGGAATGAGCGAGGCGATGAGGCCGATGAGGTCATTGTTCATGTATCCAGGGTAGCGCAGGGTGGTGGTGCTGGCTGACATGATGGTGGACACCTGGGAACGGAGATACTGTATTATGGGAGTTGATGGAGGTGGAGCATCTCTCCTCTGACGACCCTCTCGCAGACAGAGGGCTTGCGTTCCAGGAGCGGGACTCACCAGCTGGTTGATCTGGGAGAAGGATGGGTTCTGGATGTGCAGGCGGTCTGTGGCGATCCGGTTCAAGGCTGTGTTGTCCAGCACCACCTGACAGAATACAGGGGCTCTATAATACCTTTTGAGGCAAAAAGGGACCTTGAAATAAGGTAAAAATTAATGTCTGTAAACTCCGAAACCAGAAAGTGGGTTTGCTACCTTCAAAGAAATTTCTTTTTTTTTTTTTCTTTTTTAGTCTGAGACTAGGTCTCAGTCCATAGCTCAGGAACTTAATTATGACTTGGAACTTAATTATGTAGCCCAGGTTATCCTTGAATGAATAGGGATCCTCCTGCCTCAGCCTACTGAAAAATGGAGTTATACGCATAAACCACCACATCCACTTAAGACACCATTTCTAAATAAATAATGTAAGACAAATTTAGTTAAAAATATACACAAAGGGATCTGGCTGAATAATGGAGGGAAGGTTTTGCTACTAAAGCGACCTTTGAGTTCAAGCATAAGGAGACACTGAAGAGGCAAAATGGGGTATATGTCAGGATAGGGGAACACTCTGTTGAGAATTTTGCTGCCCCCAAATCCTGGAAGGAACTTGGAAGCTGGGATCTTACTTTATAATTTCCCCCCCTTGTCATGGTTTTGTTGGATGTTTTGTGTGAGCCAGGGCCAGAGAAGAGCAAGGGCAAGTCTTAGAAGGTGAGCTAAGTCCTGGGTCAGTCTTCCATCGCTCACCACACAGTCGGCATTCTGGGTCAGCCTCTTTAACGTGAGGAGGGAATTGTAGGGCTGGACCACCACGTCACTCATCTCGTCCTGGTTGGGGAACACAGAGTATGTCTGCACCAATTTCTTGGGGTACCTAAGAGCAAAGAAGAGGGAAAGGAGAGGGAGGCACTGTGAAGTGGAAGGACCTCCCTGACCATTGATCTCCTTTCCAAGTGCCACTGAGCTGTTGTACAAAAGGATGAAGAACACACCCTGGTCCTCAGCACTCACAGGATAAGCCACGCTCTGTAGGTCCCAAGATAACATCCCACTGCCCAGATTTTGCTTCCAAGGTGTTCTCTGGATGGTTCTGTCCCTGTGACTCAAGGAGGAGTAACAAAACAAACAAACAAAAAAACAAAAACTTCCAGCTCAAAGGGGGAACAGTAACACAACATGGGAAGAAACTATCTAGGAATTCTGCTTTAGTTCCTGTTACTATGACAAATACCTCAGCAAAAAGCAATAAGGGATAGAAAGGACTTATTTGGCTTTCACTTCCAGGTTATAATGCATTATTTTTGTGAAGTTAAAGCAGGATGTCCACAGTTAAGAGCAGAGGGAATAAATGTGTGGATCCTTGCTTGCCACGCTGGCTGCTAGCTTTCTCCTCTTTTATGCTGTGCAGGAACACCTGCCTAGGGAATAGTGCCACCTACAATGGGCCAGGTCTTCTTGTATCAATTAACAATCAAGATAGTCCCTTCCACCAGACATGTTAACAGGTCAGCTCTCTTACTGACTGGTGAGGTGTTGGGGTGTGTGTGTGTGTGTGTGTGTATTATTTTACTTCTACCTCCCTTCCAACCTTTATTCCACCCTGATCCCTTCCAGCCCCCCAGCACTACATAGGGGAGAAAGAAGGCTAGAGAGGAAAGGGAGCATAGCCCTCTTTAGACTACTTCCTGCTACTCCAGAGTCCCCGGAATTAAACTCTCTGCAGCAGGCAAAGATCACACCCCTGCTAGTGCATGAGGCAAATCATAATCACCCGCTGTGAAGCAGCCTCTCATCCCACGCCTGGGATTAAAATATTCACATAATATAACTGGGTTTTAAAAGAAACCAAAATTCTCACTACAGCAAGGTGACTCAGTGGGTAGGGTAAAGATGCCTGCCACCATTCTCTATGACCACTGAGGTTCCTGGGATCCACAAGGTGAAAGAGAACCAACCTGCGCACACTGTCCTCTGACCTCCACATGTATGCATTGACAGGTATGCCTCCCCCAAAATAAACAACAATGTAATTAAAATATTAACCAGCACACCAAAGAGTCAAGGCTAATGACCTCTCCTTAAACACAGTCTTACCTGTCATTCAGTCGCTCTAAGAGGTAGGAGCCCATACCAGAACCTGTCCCGCCCGCAATAGAGTGACACAGCACAAATCCCTGAATGGGGAAAAAGAGAGAGAGAGAGAGACAGTGTTCAGGTATCTCAAAGAGAGATTTCAGCTTTGTCTCTAAGGCTGCTTGGAAAGGCTCAGAGACCAAGGAGAGGCTGAGTAACTGACAGCAGTGAGATTCTGATTTCCCTAGAACGAGACAGTGTCTTAGTCACCTTAATGCGCTCTATATGATGTCCCCAAATGGATGTTGAGTTGAATGTTTCCATCACATCACATGCTTAAATCATGCCTGATCCCCCCCC